GACATTTTAAACATATTATTTATCATAACTAATTCATTTTCTAACATATAATTTAAATAAAATTTACATCATTAGCACAAATAATTAAGGCCATAGCGAATGTATATATCGGTTACAGACCTCTTTCTCTTTTTCTTTTCTTAGGTATACCATAAATTAGGTATAATTTCCTATACAAAATCTTATTGTGCAACCTTCTAAAGCACATCTTCTTCGTTCATTTTCTCGATTTTTATTTCTAACTATCATAGCCTAGACTAACCTTTCTATGTTTCTGTATTCTATCAGAAGATTTTGCTACAAGAAAACTAACTTAGTAGGCACAATTATCTTTCATTAATCTGCTTAAGTCATCAGGATTTCTGTTACCTGAAACTACTAATCCTTCTGTTGGAGATAATTGATGCCTTTAATTGAAATCTCTTTTTTATCCTATCATCTGGAACTTATTTTTCCTCTTCCATGCAATAATGTAAGCAATAACGTTAGAAATACTTCTAAACACCTTTTCAGAGAACTCATTCAAGGCTTGAAATAAAGTATGTTATAGATCAGTCATGTTTCTCAGCTTGGTCAAAAATAAACTAGGATAGACCAATAAACTAATTTCAGTTTGGTCTTCATGACATAGTAATATTATCTTTTTCTCCACTTGTACCTTAATACTACTGTTTTAATGAACCATGATTGGAACACTATCTAGAAGTATTTTATTTGAGAGATGTCTTGTATCTTACGCTATCACGAAAAAAAAAATGACTTCTCAGTTTGAATGTAAGCTTTGAAAATTAAAAAAAAATTCTGCTATTGACACCACACGACTTCCTTGTACGGTCGATTAAATTACTCACTTTTTGCTGCACTTCATTTAAACTTAGTTTCTCGAATTTCATTAGAGATATATTTCTTATTTAATCAGTTTATTTTTCTCTTTGCGGCGAGGCAAAAGCGCATGAAAACTCAAAACATCTTCATTAAAAATTGTATAATACGTGTGAAACCAAATACAGTTAAAAACACTTAAAAAAATGTTCAATTAAAACTAGAGTTTCTGCGTGAAAACAAGCAATTCGCCAATGAATAGGAAGACAAGATTTTTGGTGCACAAAATTGAACTTTCGGTCCAAAAACAAAACAAAAGTTAAACTTTCGGTCCCACTGCGCAAAAAGTCACTGAAGTTGTTGCACCAACTGACTAAATTCACTATTCTACTAAGAATTTCAAATGGCCTCCTCTTACGTCTAGAGCAACTTAACCTTTTAAATTGCCGATAATTCTACAACTACTGCATTCAGATTAACTAAAGACATAGAACAAAACATAATTTAGTCACTTTTAAAGCATAAAATTCGCAATTTACCATTATATAAGAATTAAAACGCAAAGCTCACCGAACCGGGTAAGAGAGTGGGTATATATGTATAAATATATACGTTTGGGATTCGACTGATTTCAACAAAAGGGAGGTGCACAGCTACATGTTATAGCATTACCATGTAAAAAATTTGAACGTTCTACGAGTAATCTTTGAGTTATGTGAGATACATATATACATACATACGTAGAGACGTCACAAAAAAATCCCTTCTGAATCCATTTTAAATAAATTTTACAATCTGTTTTGGAAAAAATACCTGGTTATTCTATTCGTACGTATAAATGTCACTGAAAAAAGGCATTTAAATTAATTCGAGAACATAACGGATGTTTTCGATGAAATATAACACCCGAAATCTTTCGAATTACAATGCTTCCTTCTCTTCGTACAAGGAGTAAAAAAAACTATTATATATATATATATATATAAGAAAATGATGTCGGGAAGGGCGAAATCTGGGGAGTTGAAGGGATGAAGAATTATTTCGAATTTTGTTTCAGCTAAAATGTCTTTTAGTGGACGATAATTCAGTGCGTGACCATACTGAATTAATCAGTACCTGTTCCTCCATAGTTGAAGTCATTTTTCTATAAATACACTTTATCAACCACTTCAGAGTATCACAATAATTTTTTGCATTGTCTATCTAGTGTAAGGGAAGGAATTCTCTATGCACAGTTCACTTCATTTCAAAAATATGTATCAATACTATCCTCTTTGTTCTTCTAACTTCCCGCGACCTCTCTGATTTTAGAAAGTGACTTTGTTTGCCCTCCAGGATGAGATCTTTCCTCTCCTCGTAAAGTCGTCGTAGCTGTGAATCAAACCTTGCCCCTGAGCTGACCGTAAAGGATCATTCAGGAGGAATCGCAAACGTTGCTAAATATATATACGGTGTGTCTATAAAGGTCTATGAAGTGATAAGATTAGCATTTTTCAACCAGTCAGGTGAAGCTGCTTAGTGGCAATGGTTATTAATGCATTAGAATTGGAATCCCCTTAAAATAGTTTCCATCATATCGAAAAGTAATTTTAATAGAATTTTTGGTTTAATTTTGTACAACTAATATTAGCCTTTATAAATTTAACAACAGGACAACGGGAAGCAAGATAATTTCCTTCGTATAGTGGAATTATTATCAAACACCTTATTCCAAAGAAAAGAGTAGTCGTTCTTAATCGCCCCACTTATTCATCTTATTTGGTACCCCACTGAAATCTGGATTTAAAGGACACGATTTTATGACCACTTCAGAAGTTTATAAAATTTTAATAATGGGAATGAGGGGATGTTCTGAGATCTGGCTTTTACAAAGCAATCCAGAAGCTCACTCCAAGGTATGAAGAATGTGCCAAGAGATTTATAGCAAAAGAAAGAATGTACATAAAATACTAAAGAATGATAAAGTTTTTTTCTACAGATCTAGACATTTTGCGAATTCTGTTTTAAAATTTTGTAGTCATACTATGTAACAAAATCTTTCCAGGGATCATTACATTTACCCAAGCATGGTGTAAATATTAAAAGTGGTGCATATATAGAGAAAAGAAATACTTTCGAATTAAAACAAACTTAAATGCATCTGACTTTTCGAAACTAAATTATAGAAGAATTACAGAAGGAGGAATACTCTGAAATTATAAACGGAACTAATTAACACTGACTCATTGTTAAGGCCATGAACTCGGTTATTTTATCTTAAAATTTACTAATAATTTTTCAAAATTTTGCTATTCTTGTCTCTTTGAATCAGATTATGATATTGCAAATACTAAATAAAAACATGAAGGAATGATTAATAAAAACTTCTAAGCTGGTATATAGTTATTAAGAATTTCAGTTTGATGAAAATTAAACTCAGATGTTAAAAAATATTCAAAGAACTTCCAGTATGCTTCTTCATATTACAGCATAATTTTTTTAAAGGATCTTTGTTAATTTCTAATTGAGAGCATCGTAATCGTTGTAGTTTCTATTACCTCTCCAAAAGGCTCGCTAAGTTATAGTATAAGCAAAAGATTGTTGCCATTCATTAACTGAAGAAATTTTTGTTTAAAATATTTTGAATATAAATTAGAATTGCATGTAAAAAAAATTGGTATTTATTTAAAAATTCTGGTTTTAATATTTTAGTGAAAGTTAATAAGAGTGTCACAGACGAATTATTTTTAGCAACGTCAAAATAATTTTCAAAATGATGCTTCCTTGTGAAAATAAATAATAAAAAAATTCCAGCTGCAAACGCTCAGTTGTTTGTTTTAAACACTAGAATAAATTTTTACCTAAAACATTAAAATTTTGTGTCAAGGGAAATGTTCTTTAGAATATATTTGAATAGCTTGCATTGTAGAAGAATGGGTAGCTCAGTAACAGCTGCGTAACTATTAGGCAGCCTAAAATAATCTCTAGGTCGTATCCTGGTAAGCATATAGCTTACCAGTCTCATCCCTAGATACACTTTAAAACATTAACTTATTTAATTATGGCTTTATATTATAATGATAATTAATAAAGTTATTGTCTTATGTAGCTAAATGGCTGTGGTAAGCTCAGTATCAACTAGATGCTGTAACTATGTAGGCAGCCTAAAATAATCTCTAGGTCGTATCCTGGTAAAGCATATAGCTTACCAGTCTCATCCCTAGATACACTTTAAAACATTAACTTATTTAATTATGGCTTTATATTATAATGATAATTAATAAAGTTATTGTCTTATGTAGCTAAATGGCTGTGGTAAGCTCAGTATCAACTAGATGCTGCTAACTAAGTAGGCAGCCTAAAATAATCTCTAGGTCGTTTCCTGGTAAGGCATGTAGCTTACCAGTCTCATCCCTAGATATGCTTTAAAACATTAACTTATTTAATTATGGCTTTATATTATAATAATAATTAATAAAGTTATTGTCTTATATAGCTAAATGGCTGTGGTAAGCTCAGTATCAACTAGATGCTGTAGCTATGCAGGCAGCCTAAAATAATCTCTAGGTTATGTGCTGGTAAAGCATATTGCTTACCAGTCTCGACCCCTAGATACACTTTAAAACATTAACTTATTTTTAATTGGGTTTATATTATAATGATAATTAATATTGTCATGTATAGTTGTTTTTGATTCATTGCTTACATGGGAACAAATACTAATCAGGTCGGACTTCAAAATCTTAATTCAGTACATCCTGATGCGATGAAAATCGCAGCTGAATGTAAAATTCACAATATGATCACTGTTACTCACAAGTAAAGTGAAGATCATTAAAACAAATCTGTAAACTCTCTCTTCAAAAAAGGCAGTTAAAAATAAATCATTAGGTACACATCTAAAGTTGGCATTGGATAGAAATATCACATTAAGTAAGTTTAACCTCAGTTTCACATTATTGGCGTGAGTAAAACATCTTTTATCTATGTTGGGAAACTTCACTGATAGGTAGTAAATTGGTTCTGAACTACTGAATTAAAAAAAATAATAAGTTGAATTTTAGACAGAATTTAAAATCTAAATATAAATTACAATCTAATATATTTATTCATTAAGAAATATTGATTTTGGTATACCTTATCTCCATTATAAGAATCATTCATAATCTTAAAAATCTGATTACATAAATTTTTGGTGCTAAAGTACAGTATGGCTTAATATTTTATCACATTTCTAAGTAATTTTGATATGTTATCTGAGTAATTCTAGTCGTACGAATAGTAATGCTTGAAATTTTGATATTACTTTCATGTCTTTATTTAGCTGCCCAACCGGTATAGTGGTTAACAATTGCTGACTGCCATGCCAAATCCCAGAGAAGGCATGGATGTTTGTAAATGTATAGTATCCATGCGGTACTCTAAATATGCAGTGAGTCAAAAGTCCTCTTGAGAGGTTGATGGTAGGAGAAGAGGAATGGGCCACCCTCGGACCCGTCCCCCCCCCAATGCTCTTCATCAAAATTTGGGGCGGAACTGAGCTGAATCATACTGTCACCTATAAGGTGCTCAAGGCTGTTGCCAATGGCAAGCGTAAATTTATGCTCCTTGCCACGAGAAATTTCGTGGCCTTGGGCTGACTGTTGATATCACAAGTGAGCATTAGTAATAACAACGTATTTATTTCAAGTTGCATAGTGAATTTTTGCACTGACAAGTTATATCCTTACTGTTACTGAGGACTTAATTCAAAACCATTTTGATTATTTATTTTGGAAGAAAATTTGTTGCTCTTTAATTATGTACAGTGCAGTGGATTTTATAAATTAAAAGATTGCAGTTTTGCTGTTTTCTATACTGTGTGAACTTCAAATTATTTGCACAGAAATAAGTAACTGAAACGTTCTTATTTATTTAAAATTTAGTACAAACTGCTATATTTGTTAAATACAGTTTCATATAAGGAAAATAAAGGTTTTGTCAATATAAAAAAAAATAAAAATTTTAACAAAGGAATAAAGGATTAAATAGTTCTATCTAAGCAAAATAACTTTCTAATAGATAGATACCAAGAGTGGGTATCTTAAAGCAACTCATAGTAAGATGTTGGTTTTTTGTTACATTTTATAACTAAAAATTTGGTTCAGAATGAAGGATACACATGAATTATGAAGAAATTATTACATTCATTGTTATTTGTATTAATTTTCTCCCTAATGTATGTTAATTAATTAATATATGTATTTATAATAACTGATATTATATATCTGTTTCAAGTTTTTATTTTTTGAAGAAAATGCACTCTTGATTGTATATACATCTTTTTTAGTGCTTCTATGGGATGATCTTGCTCGGAAGTTTGTGTCTGAGTTTACTTTTTCATCACCTGTTTTATCACTAAGATTGAGAAGAGACAAGTAAGTTATATATATGTGTGTGTGTGTAAGATAAAAAAAAAATTGTAAATCAAAATTATAACTTAAATTAGCAATACCCCACTTAATTCATCATTTTAATTTGGGTGTTACCCCTCTCTGTTCTTAATGTTAACTGGACTGCATCATTTCTAGATAGCTGGATATTCATGTAATTCATATTTTTATTATTTTGATTTGTTCCAAAATTAGATAAGTATATATATCTTCAGATGATTTAAGTCAGAAAATATGAAATGAATAAAAATTTATCATATCTATTCCTTGCATTGTAATATGTTTTGAAATTAACATTTTTTTTGATGAATTCATAATTCATTTTCCCAGTATTTTTTGAATTTACTTGTTACAGCAGTAAGTCTGGATAAAATGTATAATAAGAATTTGTCTAACTTGATATATTATTACAGTTGTTATTAATTTTCAGACATACCATTTTTTTAAATTTGAATGTCGTTAAAAACTTTAAACCAAATTATTTCCCCCCCTTTTGAAGATAAATGCTATTTTATATTGAAACAATATACAGAAGATCCCTTTCCTATGATCCTTTGTGTACTATAATTCCACAATGACAAGGTGTTCTTGGGGGCCTATGGCCCAGTGTGGATTGTTATTGAGACATCAAAAAAAATTTAAATCACTGAACTTGGAATTATGGAGAGAAGATAGATTAGAATGTGTTATTGTAATACTTGTTTTTTCTTTTCTGTACCCTAATCTTTTGTATCTCTTACTGCTTTGATATTAGATCACTTAGCCCAGCGTACCATGTATTGTCCTCTTTGATTCTGGTTAATGAAGTTAGATAGTAGAGCATTTTTTCTGTTACTTGTAAGCTGTATGGTTGTCATATCATTGTGGCTTTTACTGTATATTATCCTCCCGCCCAATTTAGTTCAGAAAAGTTTTCATTGGCATGCTGTACCATAAAAAATTGGGAGATTTGTATCTGTTGCAAGAATTGCCCAGTTCTTGAGGAACAACATGAGATAGAAATGTTGGATCCTCATAATGTTATTCTACTTAAATCTTGTGCGAGCTTCCAGAATATGGTTTAGTTTATCACCTTTGTAAAATACTTATTTAATTGGGGCAAGTCAAAAAAGTTATGTATTTCGTTTGGTCAGACACTGTTTTTTATGCTTTTTGTACTTGTTTTTTGCAGGATGTTTGTTGCACTGAAAACCCAAATTCATGTATTCAGCTTTCCTAATAATCCTAAAAAGTTGTTTACATTTGATACGGGTGGTAACCCTAGAGGTAAGTTTTGCTGCATTTTATGAACTGTTTGTTTTGTGTATTTCAGAAAATTTATTATATACTTTTTTTTTTTAATTATGTATGGTAAAAGATTCAATTTATATATTCTATTCACTTAAATATTATTTTTTCTTAGTGTTTTTTGTGTTTTTTTTTTGTTTTTTTTTTTTTTTTTGTTTTTGAAACTTTTATTTAAAATAATTTTTAAAATCATAAAAAAAAAACAGAAGTTTTTTGAGAATATGCATATTTTTTAGATCTAATAATAGCCTTGTATTAAACATGCATTAGCTGATTATTAATTACGTAAATAAATTAACTCCTTACATATTTGAATCCCTTGTTAAAATATAAAATATGCAGAACACAGATAGAATGTAAAAATGCTTTGTTAGAATGTAAAAATGCTGGTCATGAAAGTACCAATTACTGTCAGTAATTTTATAAGTTCTGTTTGCATTGATTCATTGGCAATAAATTATTTTGCTATTCATCATTTAATTTAAAAAAGTAACAGTTATAGTATTTGAAAACATTTTTATAACTATTTAGACTATCAGTAGAAGTCTATTATTATTTAGACTATCAGTAGAAGGAAGAATTTTGCTCCTGTTCCTACAGTTTAATTATTAGTTGATAAGGCAGTGGTCTGAAAATAATTTTTTATTGAAAAAATTAATTTAAAATTTTGCTTACTCAATCAAACCATACCGAAACAATAACAATAAATTGCAAAGGAAAAAAATTCAAATTTATTTTTTATCTGAAATGTAAAGTTTGGTACTTGCAGGCATTTTCATTGGTTACCCTTTTTTGTTCAAATATATTGAAAACTAAGTTTTAAATTTTCAGACTTACGTGTATTTAAAATAAGGTATTTATATAATAATGCAACCACCTTGGTGCAGTTTGGTGAATTTTTACAGATGAAAATGTAAAAGTTACTTATCGGTTGCAAGTTGATGGTTTTTGTAATTTTTTTAAAACGGTTCCAAAACTGTTATTATTTATTGTAAGTTGGCAAATGTGATTCACTCATGAAAAGAAATCTTACTTTAGATTTATACAAATTTTAATACAAGTTTTAATTATTAAATAAGGTATATCACATTAAAAAGAAATAAAACATATTTTTAAACCACCTTCTTTTTTTGTGTGTTTGTGTATGTGTGTGCAATTCTTCTTCCCAAGTACACAGCAATCTGCTTAAGAAATCATCAGCAGATTGCAGACACTCAGAATCATGCAAATTTTGGCTACACTGGCCATCTACCAAACGTATATCCTTATCGTTCCTTTTAAAGATTTTTCAGCAATTTTGAGTGCCTACAGAAATTTTACTGCAGTTTCTTTCAGTAAATTCCACGAGTGCATATTTTAAAATAAAATTAAAAGCAAAAAATATTACTATTTTTTTATAAAACCATTAAACTTTGAAACGCAATAAAAAGAGTGCATGCGAAAATGGCGGTGTTGCTTGACTGAAGGATTATTGTGAACATGGTTCGCTGTTATGCCATGTTTTATGGCTGCCAGAGTTTGGTGTATTCCGAAAATTTGTCGACTTTTGTTAAGGTTGCGATGGCATGCAAATAACTAAAATAGTTCTAACATGTTTAATTAGTGATTAAGTAACTCGCTTCAGTTAAAACTAAAAATATATAAATTAAGAAAGCTTTCTAAGTTTTCAGGGAAAATTTTCTGAGTGAGACAAAATTTGAGAATAAATAATGGTGACATAATCTCTTTATCTAATATGTAAATAATTCTAATCTAATATGTAAATAATTCTAAACTCTTTATTTCTTACTACACTTTGATACTTGATGGCATTTTGATTCTGATAAAGTTTGTAGTCTTGGAAAGAAATTGCTAGAAATTATCTTCATCACAGATGTTAGATGTTCATCAATCATTGAGATTTGAAGGGGGAAAAAAAAGGCTGTTGACATATAAATGTATTCGTCAGCAAAGCAATTATTTTTAGTGCAAATATGTAACTGAGCATATTTATTTTTTGACCAGAGCATGAATAAAAGTTAATAAAATCTGTACTTTCAAATCTTTGAGTAAAATTTATGTTACTCTGTAATTTAATTAGCTCCACTTCTAGATTTTCTGGTGTTTTTTTGTATTCATTCTTAATTTTAATGAAAACAATGTAAACTTGGACTTCGTAAAACTAAAATATTGAAATATTTGCAACAAAAACACAATAGAAATGTATTCGCAAGGCATGTAAAATTGCTTCACTCAATGTATGCAGCTTGTGAGCCTACTAATATAATCCGTATTCAAAAAGTACTCAGACTCTATCTGGGGAAAATATAGTTATTCACCTGGAGATATGTATGTAATCTTTTTCAAAATAGTCTTTGGAGTCTTTTGCATATATTTTTCCTATTGGTCCTTGCCTTGTTGGAAACATTTCTGTATCTCTGTGTAAATAAGTGTAGCTGTACCAGAGAGTCTTACTCATGTTCTCATGGCTTGAATTAGATTCTTTTTAATGGCATTTTGACCTTGGAAAGTGGCCAGAAATTAGAAGGAGTTAGGTTTGGAGATCAAAGATTAGAGGAATTTTATGTTATTATTACACATTAGAGGAATTTTATGTCTGTCTGTGAAAAACTGAATCGCTTGTGAAGGAATAGTAAAGTCCATTGGTGTGATGCAGCTGCCAGATATTTGTGCTCCAGATCTGGTAATTTGTGCTACAAAGGCATTAGATGTTATCTTATAAGGTATTTTCTCCCTCCTTCCAGGATGCCTTCATGGTGTAACAGTTAGCACACTCGGCGTGTATTTGAGAGGTCCAGGTTCGAGTCCCGGCAAGGGCAGTGCACATTTTTCTCCTCTCCTGCTTTAAAATAGCCTAGTAGATCTGCAGTGGCACTTGAACTAAAAAAAAAAAAGTGGTGGGTGATGATTTTTCACCAACAGGATTTGGCGATTGCGTCCCTTGATCCCCACTTGTCATTTGAAAGGGGGTATATAAGATATTTTCTCCCTCCTTCCAGCATGCCTTCGTAGTGTAATGGCTACCACACTCAGTGCATATTTGAAAGGTCCATGGTTCAAGTCTAGGCAAGGGCACTGCAGATTTCTTCAGTTTCCTGACACTGAAAAATTCCAAGTTACTCTGCAGTGGCGCCTGAATTAAAAGGTGGTGAATGATGTTCTTCACCACAAGGATCTGATGGTTGAGTTCCCTAATCCCCAGAAGAGGGAGTATGTAAGGTATTTTCTCCCACATTTCTGCATGCCTTAGTGGTATAATGGTAGTAAACTTGGCACGTATTCCAGAAGTCTAGGTTCAAGTCCTGGCGAGGCCATTGTGGATTACTTCGATATCCTTGTTTCCAAAAATTCTAAAATGACTCTACAATAATGGTGCCCAAACTAAAAGTTGGTGGATGCTGATTCTTGAAACCAGGATTTGGCAATTGGGTCCCATAATCCCCAGTCGCCCTTTAAAAAGAGAGTATATAAGGTATTTTCTCTCTTCTTCTGGCATGCCTTCGTAGTGTAACGGTTAACACACTCGGCCTGTATTCGAGAGGTCTAGCTTCGAGTCTTGGCATTGTTCATTTTTCAATACTTCTGCTTAAAAAATACCTAATATCTCTGCAGTCTCTTGTCATGGATCAAAGAAAGTGACCAATGTTACTTATGCACATGTTACACTTAAATGAAAAACAGGATGATGAATTACTTTCACAACTATACCTCTATTTATATTTCATGCTGATAAACCCATGACTCATCACCTGTTAATCAGGTGTTTAAGAAGTTATTGTTTGTTCAACCAGCATATCATTCACAGTTTCTATATGGTTCAGCCTTCTCAGCATTGTTAGCCGCTCGGATACAGACTGCAAGCAGTCTTAGTAAGGTCAAATCCTCATTCAAAAATGGAATGTACAAAACAAGTGTTTGTCACTTCTCTATCAGCTATGTGCAATGTGTAAATCTATATTAAGCTGTAAGGGAGAAAATGAGAGATTCATCCACTTTGTATGTGTTTTTTCTGCAAAAAGCTCATTTTGACAGAAGATTGATTCTGAATTTTTCATAAACCTATATCAGAACCACATGCAGATCTTGATCTTATGTTGTTTGACGGCTTGAAGTTTCTTTATGGCAATTTTTAAAACTGTCATTCTGTTGCCGACTGGTGGTTACCACTGTGTTGAGTGGTGGTAGGTAGCAAATCTGACTCCTTATAGTGATTAGTACATTTGTGAGGTTGCATAGTACTTACTGCATTTTAAACTTAAAACATATTTGTTACAATTATGAGAAACTCTTTACAAATATATATAATTAATGAATCGTATAGAACAGCTTAGAGAACAGAGTATAGAACAGTCATTTTACTGCTGAAATATGACTTTATTTATTATTTTTGAAGTAAGGACGAATTTATTTGAATTAATATGCTGACATAATATGAAACATTTTTACCACATACAGAGCAAAAAGTAAAATTTTTTCGAAGATATGATTGTACGTGAAGATGTATTCACGATTATAAATGGGGCGATTTTAAGAATTCTGAGAAAACGTCCAATGTTGAGTCGTTGCATATCCATGCATATTTAACAGCTGTCCAAAATATCTCAGAAGAAACACAATGAAAAAATTAATGGAAAAGGAGAAAAAATATTAACGCTTTTAATGGGAAACGTGAAAAAATTAATGGAAAAGGAGAAAAAAGTATTAACACTTTTAATGGAAAACGACAAAATTAATGGCTTTGATAAATTACTAATAAATGTTGACGTCAAAATTAGAGAAACTGTGAACAAAAATACGAAATTCATTACCTATAAAAGTTCTGATGACTATTTGTTAACGTTTTTGTCCATCTCCATGCATTTAAAAATGTTGGTTTAATCCTAGTATACGGTACACTCGGGATTTGACAATATTGACATTACAAATGTTTTAGCGAGCCCGATAAGTATTTTTTTGTTAATATAATCTTGTGAACATTA